TAATAAGGTGTTTCCTCACTCTTTGCAAAGTGCAGATGTGGCCATCAGCTGCTGTTGGAATGAAGGAAACCTTTTGTTTCTTTATTTTATTGGACCACACCTGGCTGTGCTTACTCCCATCTCTGTGGTGCCTGGAATCGAACCCAGGTCAGCCGCAAGCAAGGCAAGAACCCTCCCAACTGTACTATTGCTCCAACCCAAACCCTTTGAAGTGCACAGCCAAGTTTATTTCCAGTTCTGGTTCCGTGATGCCTGCAGGCCCCCAGACCACATAGTTGCCCTTCCTGAAGTCACATGACCTTACCCATTTAAATGTCTGAATATGCCCTGCTTCAAGTAAGTTTAAACGGATTTCTACCATTTGCAATTTAGAGTATCCATTAATATAACCACTTTACGTAAGCCTTTTGTTGGGCTTACATAAGCCTTATTGCTATAAAGTTCGGCTGGAGCAATAGCAGAGCGGTAGGGCGTTTGCCTTGCATGCAGCCAACCCAGGTTCAATTCCTCTGCCCCTCTCGGAGAGCCCGGCAAGCTACTGAGAGTATCTCACTCGCACGGCAAAGCCTGGCAAGTTCCCCATGATATATTCGATATGCCAAAAACAGTAACAAGGAGTCTCAAAATGGAGACATTACTGGGCCCGCTGGAGCAAATCAACGAACAACGGGAGGACAGTGCTACAGTGCTACATAACAAACATATAACATACAATTCTAGAAGCCCTGTTACACACATTATCTCCTTTAATATGGAAAAACATTTAGGTGAAACCATAAGACAGTCGTTATTTTTCATGTCCGACATTTTTTTAATTTATTTTTTATTAAAAAAGTTATTAAGAGTGAGACATCATGAAGGTACAGTTGCAGACTTACACATTTTTGTGCTTGGGTTTCAATTATACAAGGATCAAATACCCATCCCTCCACCAGTGCCCATTTCCCACCACCACGGATCCCAGTATCCCTCCCATCCCCCATCCCCCCCCCCATCCCACACAGCGTCTGTGGCAGGGCATTCCCTTTTGTTCTCTCTCTCCTTTTGGGTCCTGTGGTTTGCAAAAGAGGCATTGAGTGGCAATCATATTCGGTCTAGAGTCTACTTTCAGCATGCATCTCCCATCCTGGGAGGATCCTCCAAGCACCCTTTATTAGGTGTTCCCTTCTTTATCTGAGCTCCCTTTTGTCTTTGTGTACCAAGACAGAACCATTTCAGCCTTGCGAGAGGTGACATAGCTCCTCAGTGCAAAATGGGACTGACTTCGTGCAGCTCCAAAGTCTGACCTCTAAATCTAGATCCTGCTTACTGGTTCCACCTTTGTGCTTGCCTTCCACTGGGCAACTCTGTCTAGTGTTCCAGAGACTTTGAGTCTGGAAAGGAAACTGTACATAACCACCTTCTGAGACTCCTGTTCTGTGGTTTGTAAATGAGCATTTCCTTTATGAGACACGGAGATGATCTTCCTTACCGAAAGCTTGTAGTGACACCTCGTGGCTACAGCAGAGTAATCCTGCACTCAGGTTGACCAAGGCCTCACATACAGCCCTTCTCTCCAGCAGAGCATCCTGACAGAATAAACGAAGGTCATCAACTCAACTTCTTGTAACAGAGCTCTCTGCAAGCTGCTTCACTTGGGCATCGGCCCCCAGCTCCGGCACGCCAGTGTCAACTCACTGAAGGCCCTAATGTCCCATGTGAGGACCACAGCCACATTGGCAGGCCCCCTCTTTGCGCCTCGGTTCTCAGAGGCTTTCCTCTCATAGGTTTTTTACTATACAGATTCCACTGCCCTACAGAACCTTAGTTCTGGGGCGACCACACGCTGTTTCTCTTTATACATTTGTTTTGTTTGTTGGGAGCAGGGGTAATACCCGGCAGTACTCAAGGGCTTAGTCCTGGCGCGGTGCTCAGGAGTCATTCCCTGTGGGGCTCAGGAACCATATCTGGTGCTGGGGATTGAACTTGGATCAGCGTCACGCAAGGCAAGTGCCTTCTCCTACCTTGCCAACCCTCTCTACCCTCTCTAGTCTAGCTATAACCTTACCACCAACTCCACACTCACACTTCCGCCCGATCACTCCCCCCTCTGCCCAGAGCCTGACAACCTCTCAGAGTCCACATGCCCCAGAGCGGGCACATAATCTTCTGCTTCTTCCTCTCATCCGCCGCTTCTCAGGACCTGGCTGATTATCAGGGCACCTGCTCACCTCCTCAAAGTCCCTGGATGAATGATGATTCCCCATCATCCAAACTCCTCTCCTGGCCTCAAAGTCCTTCGGGCTGACTCGAGCTACTCCAAAAAGTCTTATAGGAGAGCTCACAGCCCAGCTCCTCCTTGCAGACAGTGCCCAAGAGATGCTGCTCCATCTCCCTGGACTGGCTCACTCCTTCCTGGGTCCCACGTGAGGAAGTGTCAGATACCAGCTTCTCGGACCCTCAGCTATGTTCATCTACAGGAATCTCTCTCAGGGCTGCAGTTGAGAAAGGCCTTTATGTGGGTGTGGAGAAGAGCCTGGCTCAGTTGAAGGCCGGTTTCAGGAGGCAGGGCCAGCCCGGCAGGATAGGAGAAGAGACTGTTTTGCATACACCACAAATGTCCCCTGAGCACCGCAGGGAGTTATCACTGAGCACAACTGGGGGAACCCCTAACCTCCCCACTGCAAAAATATAAAATTAATGAATGTCAGGAAAGGGACTTGAAAGAGGAGGTCTCAGTTTCCCCTCGCCAGCTGCTGGGGCAGCCTCATTTTTACTCTGCCCATCCTATTTTTTAAACATCCCTGCAAACTCCTGGGTTCTCTCTAAGACAGAGGATGCTTATAATTGCCCCAAGACTATGAATTCTGCCCCACATCTTGGTCTCACAGGAGACTAAGAAAACAAGCAATAGTAAGGTGAATGGTCAAACAGAAAATCTAAGCTGACCAGACCACCTGATAATCAAATGCAAATCTTCGAGTGCTTTGTAACTACCTGGTTACTCAATAAGTAACACAAAGACCCAGTCTTCCCATTTAAACACACACACACACACACACACACACACACACACACACACACACGAGCCACACTTAGTCTTATATTAAGTTCCTCCCTGGCTGGGAACTTTATTTTACATTTCAATAAACTTTTTCATCTTTCCAATTCAGAATTTGAGCATTTTTATTATTCAATATTTTATTCTTGAAAGTATTGTTTCTGTTGACGAAGTATGGTCTGACTTTGGCAACTTACTCTAACTTCTTTAAGTTTCAGTTCTTTCGGATGTGAAGCAGAAATAGAAGAATCCTAAGGCACAAAACATTAATTCAGAAAGATATACTCACATTTGTGTTCACTGCGGTGTCAGGATATGGGAGCAATTTAATACACCTTAACCCAATTATACAATAGCGAGAATATCGAAGCAACTAAAATGTCCAAGGACAGATGAGTGGGTAAATATATGACGTGTTTATATACAATGGAATATGATGTAGCTTTAAGGAAAAGTGAAATCTTACCATTTTGGATGTGCACCTTTGGTTTTGGATGATGAAACGATTGGGGAGAACGAATTGGTAATAAGAAGTGAGAGGGACAATGGGGAGGCTCTTGGGAACTCCGGAGGAAGATGCTATAACTGTACATCAAAACCATAAATGGTAACACTATTGCAAACATGTTACCTACAACAATTGTGCAGTGCAACCAGAGAAACAGCTGAGGACTCGGAGGTGCAAGGAGCAGTTGGACAGGAGAGGAAGGCGCCACTCCCGCCAGGCAAGGGCGCCCAGGATGAAAGGCCCAGCGGATAAGGCATTTGCCTTGCACGCGGCCCGACCCGGGTTCGATTCCCAACATCCCATATGGTCCCCTGAGCATGGCCAGGAGTAATTCCTGAGTGCATGAACCAGGAGTAATCCTTATGCATCGCTGGGTGGGACCCAAAAAGCAAAAATAAATAAATAAATAAATAAAACAGAAAGAAGCAAAAGAACCTCTCTCACCAGGTCAGATGGAATGTGGTCCAAGCACTGGTAGGACCCGCTTAGCCGGAGAACTGCCATGGCAGGCTTTGGGGCCTTTGAGTGACTTATGCCGCCTCCAAGAGCAAGAGAGGCAGAAAAGCCAGATGATTTTATCAAAGATCACATCCCGGGAATGAGAAGAGGTCTCCGGACGGGAATCTAACGGTCAGGGAGTGGGCTGGATGTGGCAGGCCAAAACAACAACAAAAATAGGTGTATTCTATAGGTAATAGAAATTTGCTGAGTAATGCTGACTTGCCAAAATAAAAGTATAAGAACTTGCTGAACCTAGTGCTCGGGGGTCCTTGTTGAAACTCGCTGCACTGGTGCGGATACATGGACCCCAGCTAGCTGGAACAATAAACCTCACTATGGGATTTGCAAGCTGCTGCATGGCAAAGCCTGGCAAGCTCCCTGTGACGTATTCGATATGCCAAGCACAGTAACAGATATGCCAGCACAGTGGTGCCGCTACTGGGCCCGCTGGAGCAAACTAATGAACAATGGGAGAACAGTGCTACAGGACAGTGCACTGCTCTGGGATTTGCATTATCGACTCTGCTCCCTGTCCTTGAGGGTGGTTGACTCCGGACTCTTAACAGCAGCAGGGCCTTACGCCAGACCCTCCACTCATGTAAGGGTAGGCCCCATCTTGCCCCCACCCTCTGCTACATCATCTGTTCTGGCCTCCAGCGATTGGCACTTTCTCTGCACCCAGCTTTCCTCCTGCTACCACCCTTACTGATAAATACCCTCCAAAGTAGCTGGCCCTAAAATCTTCACGCGGTACTTGTGAAAGCCTACACCTTCTTCAGGCCAGCGGCTTCAAAGCACAGGCAGGTTCTAGAACTTAAGGCCAGGCCTACCTCAAAGCTGATCTACATCAATGCATGCTTGTAATCCCCGTGATAAACCCCAATGACAACTTCTATTATCCCAGTTTGACGGATTAGGGAAATGAGGCACGGAAGCCTTAACTCGCTGGGGATGACGCTGAGGCTGCGGCGCTGCAGAACCAGGATCTCGGGCAGCAAGAGGCGGAAATGCAAATACAGAACAAATGCAAATGCAAACACGCGCCAGGGCCCTTCTGCAAATCAGATTCTCCTGGAGTTACAACAACGGGCCACTGTGTGTGTGTGTGTGTGTGTGTGTGTGGTCGCGGGGGTGAGCCGCGGCAGCGGTGCTGCGGGGAGCAACAGCTGAGGACGCGGAGGTGCAAGGAGCACGTTGGGCGGGAGAGGAAGGCGCCCCTCCCGCCCGGCAACCGCGCCAGGACTGAAATAAAAGCCCAGTCGGCCGCCGCCCGCCCACCTGCACGGCCTCGGCGCTCACCGCGCAGGCGCGTCCGCCTCCTCGGAAGCGCGGTGGGCGGAGCCAATGCCGGACGTGCCGAGGCCCCGCCCCCAGCCCGGCCCGGAGGCCCCGCCCCCAGGCGGCACTCGGGGTTGCTAGGCAACCGCTGGGCACGCCGCTGGCGGGCTCCGGGCACCCCGCGGCGGCGCCAGCCCCGCGTCGCGGCTCCCGAGGCGGCGGAATCCCCGGCCCGCGTCCCTCCCGAGCCTGCTCCGCTTCCCCGGGCGCCCGGGCGACCCCCGCTTCCAAGCCGAGCTTCGAACCCGGTGGTCCCGACGCGGACCCGACCGCTCCTCTCGGGCCATGGGCACCTACACCTTCACCAGCCGGCCGCGGGTGCTGCCGTGCCAGCGGGCCCGTTACCGGGAGGACCTGCTGGAGTGAGTGACACGCCGCCCCGGGGTCCCCGCGCCCGCTCCCCTCCGCGCCGCCGCCCTGCCCTGCCCTGCCCTGCCCTGCGCTCTGCGGTGCCCCCCAGGGACGCGGGAGGAGGACCCCCTTTCGCTGATCCAGGCGTGCAGACCTAAATGACAGCGGGCGCTGGAGCCGCCGCTGTCCCCAGGTTTGATTGAGCCCCTGGCGCCTGGCTCGGCCCGTCCTGGTACGCGATGCTCCGAGGCCGCCTGCGTCCTTCCCCGCAGACCCCAAGGCACGGGGACCCTGGCCAGTGCCGCCGCAGCCTGTCTCAAGGGGCGCCACGCTTTCCACCGGCTGCACCCCAAATCCCACTTCACAGCAGCGAGCAGTTGCAGCCGTTCAAGCACGCTTTAGTGTTGTCTTAAAGTTCTTTCCAGAAAAGTCCCAATTTTGGGGCCAGCAGAGTTGTCAAGAGTCGACAGTCTCCTCCCAAATCTTCCAGTTCTTGATGGACATGCGGCCTTGTCACGCAGCGCTTATTTTAATCACGGAATCTAAAATTAATAATTACCTTATTTGGACAAAATGTGGTGTGTTTTTTTAAAAAAATAGACTCATTTAAATTAATACATTTTTATTTTTTGAAAAAATTAAAAATTTGCATTTGAGAAGAAGGTATTTATATTCTAAAGACCTTTTTCCAATTTTTTTCAATAAAGGCCTCAATTTAACTCTTAGAAAAAACTCATTCTGGTGCTTTTGAGTAGTTGGGTTCAGACAAAGAGATGAAAGAGAAGTCATTAAGAATGTGTTTTTAAGTTAGCTGATATATTTATATATGTGATTAAGAATGTGTTTTTAAGTTAGTTGATATATTTATATATGTCATTAAGAATATGCTTTTAAGTTAGTTGATACATTTATATACATATATACTGAGAGTATCTTGCCCGCATGGCAAAGCCTGGCAAGCACCCCATGATGTATTCAATATGCCAAACATAGTAACAAGAAGTCTCACGATGGAGACGTTACTGGGCCCGCTCGAGCAAATCAATGAACAACGAGAGGACAGTGCAGTGCAGTGCAGATATATAAGTAATCTGTTGATTCAGTTCAAGCTATTGGAAGCAGTGTGTGTATTCAATTTTTTAAAATCATCCTGGGGTAAAGAGATAGTATAGTAGGCAACTGAGGTTTGATCCTGTTACCACATGTGGCCCCCAGAGCATCTCCAAGAGCAAGGTCTGATCACAGAAAATATGGCCCCCCAAACAAAATATAATAATAATAATAATAATAATAAATTATTCTTACTGGTGGTTTTCAATTTACAAAAGTCACGATTACTTAAGCAAATAAAATACACATAATATGGTACCAAAAATAAGTACAGGGGATAAGACCCTTGCTTTGCATGCTGCCTGCTCAATTCAATCCCCAGCGCCATATAAGCAGTGCCCAGGAGTAACCCCTCAGCACAGAGAGACAGGAGTGAGCCTCAAGCACGGCCGGCCTGGCCCAACCCTCCCTCCAAAACAAGAGAAACACTGGTTAGGCTGCAGCATAAATGAGGCCTTGAGAAGAGATGAGGTCCACCATGGGCCAGAGTGGGCTGAGCCCTGAGCAACCCTCCCATGAACAGGACAGGCAGCAGGAAAACACCAAGTGCTGTCACAGAGAAGAAGCCAGGTGCTCAGGGACGGACCAGCCCGGCCAAGCTGTCCAGGCCGACTAGAGTCAAGCAAAGCCGGTTTGTAATCAGCAAGGAGACAGTGCGCCCCTAGTGGCTTCCACAGATGATGATGAGCTGCAAGCTCACCCCCAAATTATTTCCCATCAGGTAGGTACTGCTGTTGGCCCTCACCCAGATTTAGTTTTAAAGCAGGAGATCAGTGAGAGAACTTAGAAGGGGAAATAATGATTCTTTCCCACTGCTGATCTCTGGAATTAAACTTTGGTTAACATTTCAAACGGTCTTTTTAAAATCATTGAAGTGGAAGAACAGTAAGAAAATTGACTAATTTTTTAAAGCCTGGTTCTTCTAGTCATTTAACATTCAAATCCTTGAAGCAGAGTTTCCTGTAATGATTATTATAGTGCGGGTAAGAGGTTTTCGACAGTGAGGATAATTGGGGCTTTGGTGTACACAACCCTTCAAAGTGCTCAAAGTGCCTCCACTGTCCCACCTCACCCCACGCTGTCTCCCCCTCTTGGTGATCTCAGTTTTGGAATCTAAGGCCTGGGGAGCAGGGGGTTGAGCCCTCTCAGCAGACACTATTCCAGACAGGCCCTTTCACACTTGCCTGTTTGGAGTCTAATGGGTCTTCGGCTCTGACTTCTCCTTGCTAGGTGATTGCTAGGTAACTCCCTGCCTGAATTCTGCTTCCTCTTCTGTCAAGTAGCAATCCTGGTCCCTAAGCATGTAGCACTGTAGCACTGTCCTCCCGTTGTTCATCGATTTGCTCAAGCGGGCACCAGTAATGTCTCACAACAAATTGTGAGACCTGCTGTTACTGCTTTTGGTATATCGAATACATCACGGGGAGCTTGCCAGGCTTTGCCGTGTGGGCGAGATACTCTTGGTAGCTTGCCGGGCTCTCCCGAGAGGGGTGGAGGAATCGAATCCAGGTCAGCTGTGTGCAAGGCAAATGCCCTACCCGCTGTACTATCACTCCAGCCCCCCTAAGCATAAATACAATAATGAAGCTTATTATGAACAGTGAATAAAGTATTTAAAGGGCTGGGCATATAATAAATGTTCCATGAAAAGTAACCCTGTAATAGTTCCAGATTTTATGGAATGTGCTAAAATAAAACTTTGTTCTCTTGAACAATTTTATCTTAGTCTACTTTAAGCCAGATCAGTAGTAGAGTGGGTAGGGTGTTTGCCTTGCACCTGGCCAACTGAGGTTCGATCCCCAGCATCCTAGGAAGTCCCCCAAGCACCACCAGGAGTAACTCTCAGTGCAGAGCCAGATGTAAGCCCAGAGCACTGCCTCATGTGGCCCCAAAAGAAAACAAATCAGCAAATAGTTGACTTCATAGTTACCAACTCTCTATTATGGTCGCTATTGAGTATCTGCTGTGTTGCAGATCTGATGAACCCATGAGATTCGGGAACATAATGTATGATCGAAGGGTGGTCCGAGGCAACACTTATGCACTTCAGACACTGCCCGAGGTAAGTGGTATCATACAAGGGCAAAGTCACTCAAACAGCCTGGGATGGGGCCTGAGATGGCCTTGCATCCTTATTTCGATCTCTTGAAGACAGAAATGCTTACTAAAATAGAATAAAGAGGAATTACTGTAGAAATGAAACTTGCCCAAAGAGACATATGGAATACTGGCATGAAATGGTTGCCAGGGCCCAGGAGAGCAGGGAGTGTCATTGAGCAGGGAGAGATGCAAATTGTGCTGAATTGTCTTCCCGGAATGGACGTGTAGTGTCTCCAGAGCTGCTGACTGTGAGCTCTGACCATGTGGCAGACGTGAGTGTTATGTCATGTGTGTTTTAGCACATTTGAAAATCATCCCTGAAAAAGATGAGGCCTTGGTTTTTACTGGAATTAGCAAAACTCTGGAAACATCGAAAAGTTTCTAAACTCTTAGTTTTTCTGTGGAAATGATCACCTTCAAGCTGATCACAGACCACATAGGTCTGAGGTGTTCAGATTTAAGTTATTCGAGAGTCTTAATTGTTAGGGCGCTGATCGTGATCTCCCTTTAACGACAAAGAGACTCCAGAGACTGCAAACAGCAAGCAAGGTTTATTGTAAGACTGGCTAGCCAGGGTCAAGCCGCCTACACAGACACGCAGGTCAGTTAGGTGAGGCAAGACCCCGAACTTCTTCAAAGGGGATCTTATATAGGCCTTCACTGGCCGTTACAGCAAAGCCCGCGCATTTCATAGCCAATAGATTTGTAACAACATATGCTTTCTTAACCAATCCATTTAACAGTACATCACTCCTTAGCCTATAGTTTAAAGATCAGCATTTTGCGTCGGTGCTTAGGAACTGGCAGGTGTTTAAGGCAGTCCTGGGTCTTGCAACATGGGTCTTGTGAGAGACATCCGGTTATCTGGTCTGACCCCCACCCTTCGAGTACCTGTATCTGAATTCCTTGCTCAGGGGCAGAAAAACCAGCTATTTTGCAGTGCAGGCTCCTATAAAGCGGATCTGAAAAAGCTTATCTAGACCTGTTCCTTGAAAAACAAGTTATTTTGCAATGCAGGTTCCTATTAAGCTAAGGTAAGGTAAAGGTAAAGGCCCTCCCGTTGATCGTCGATTTGCTCGAGCGGGCCCAGTAACGTCTCCATTGGAGACTTTGTTGTTACTGTGTCTGGCATATGGAATACTCTCGGTAGCTTGCCGGGCTCTCCGAGAGACATAAGCTAAATTAATTCTGGTGGTAGTCCATTTTTGGGCCTGTCCCTTACATTAATTAATTTATTTTTTGTTTTTCTGGAGGGGGGTGTTCTAGAGTCTTAATTTAACCCACAAATCTGAATCAGCTTCTTTAATTCACTCAACAAGAATTTACTGAATTTTACGTCCTAGCCAGAAGCCTCAGATCCAAATGTTAGTCATCTGTGTGATGTTACAAGTGCTGGTCTCTTGGCACTGAAATAAAACAGAGTCCCATTCATGAATGAGCACTCACCAGCATTTAAGAGGCAAACATTCCATGGTGGTAGATGGGCAATTCACGGCTCTGAAGCAGGGTAGGTCAACAGCACCTGGAAACTGCATCGGAGTGAGAGTGTGCTTCAGCCCCACCTGGAGGCGCTTAGGACCTGTGAGGGTGGACTTGCGAGTGACACAGGAACAAAGGTGGACATGGGAATGCAGCCGTCACCACCTCCTCTGTGCTTCACAGTTCTGGCAGCCCAGTAGGAGCCCAGCAAATTTGGTGGGAATGTTGCAGAGAAGCCTCTGAAGCTCAGTGAGTCTAAACAATGACAGAAGGCTCAGCTCGTGCCAATCACCAGCCAGTAAATCCTCAATGACTTTAGTAACACCAATGTGAAATATAACAATGATCACAAATTGACTTTTATTTCTCTATTTGCTAGGGCTGGAGTGATAGCACAGCGGGTAGGGCGTTTGCCTTACAAGCGGCCAACATGGCCGACCCGAGTTCGATTCCTCCGCCCCTCTCGGAGAGCCTGGCAAGCTACCGAGAGTATTCGATATGCCAGACACAGTAACAACAAAGTCTCCAATGGAGACGTTACTGGGCCCGCTCGAGCAAATCGATGATCAACGGGAGGGCCTTTACCTTCTCTATTTGCTGATAATTCAATTGCCCATTTTTTGGGTAACAAGAAATATGAAGTAAACGTTTTGGTGCCCGCTAAGGGGGCAGGTTTGGAGCGTGGGTGGGAAACTGAGGACAGTGGTGGAAGGGAGGGCACACTGCCGGTGGGACTGGAACACTGAGTGCCTAAAACGTCTGGATTATATGAATTTGTAAATCACAGTCTTTCTTTCTTTCTCTCTCTCTCTCTCTCTCTCTCTCTCTCTCTCTCTCTCTCTCTCTCTCTTTCTTTCTTTCTTTCAAGCTAGGACTGGTTAGCACTTGCCTTGCATGTAGTTAACCTAGGTTTCACTCCCGGCACCCCATATAGTCCCCCAAGTTGGCCCCGGGGTGATTTCTGAGCACAAAGCAGGAGTAAACCCTGAGCACTACTGGATGTGCCCCAGCCCCCAAAAAACAGTCAACTGGATTATTAGATCTTAGAACAACGTGTAAGAATATGCAAAGTAAAAATTAGAGGGGCTGGAGCAATAGTACAGTGGGTAGGGCATTTGCCTTGTACGCGGCCAACCTGGGTTTGATTCCCCGCATCCTATATGGTCCCCCAAGCACTGCCAGGAGTAATTCTTGAGTGCAAAACTAGGAGTAACCCCTGTGTGTTGCTAGGTGTGACCCAAAAAGCATAAAAAATACAGTTTGTTGTAAATAAATGGAAAGATAATCTGGGCATGAATTAGAAAATTTATCCCAGTAAATAAGACTGGGACAAACTGGCAGGCTACCGAATGTAGCCTGCCCACACGGCAGAGGCTGGCAAACTCCCCGTGGCGTACCCAATATGCCAAATACCAGTAACAATGATGGGTCTCATTCTCCTAACTCTGAAAGAGCCTTGAATATGGCACTTTTAAAAAAAAATCTCAGGGCTAGGACGAAGGAGACGTTACTGGGGCCTGCTCGAGGCAATCGACCAATAACGGGATTGTTGTGTTTGTTGTGATCCCAGTAAAACTGCTAATTCTCTTGCAATTGATGTATAAATGTATAACGTGATTTCTTTCAAAATTGTGATTTATATAAAGCTAAGCGAGCTCATTATGAGTGTATGAGGAGGGACAAAGGAATAAAGGAGTGGGAGAATCAACCACTCTGCCCAAAGTTAAGACTGTCTATGATATTATTAATCGTATCAATATAAGGTATTACTGATGGAGGATTAAATGCATGGACCAATGAAACAGAATAGAGAACTCAGAAATTAACCAGCACAAAAATACACAACTGAATTTTTGCAAAGGGAGAAAAGAAAGAAGAGAACGTTTGAATTTTTAGCAAATAGTGCTAGTGTGATGTGATTGGATGTCTCAATATAAAAAAATATAATTCGGTGAACTGTGATCTAAACCTTTTGCCACATACAAAAATAAATTCAGATGGGGTATGGGTAAGGGTACTGGGGAGTTAGCACAAGGTCCCAAGTGCCAGCCTTGCATGGGTGAGGATCTGAGTGCAATTCCTGACACTGCATCCCTCTCCCCAGCGGTGCAGGAGTAGCCCCAGACCCCAAGTCCCTCCAAGTGTGGCTGCTATATCAAATGGAAATAAATCAAGTAGGATGCTTATAATAATGTAGATGACACACACCAAAAGTCTTTATGTAGCAATCCCAAAATGATATTAGTGGGGTCCGAGAGGTAAAATAGGGGTTAAGGTGTTTGCCTTGCTTGCAGCCGACCGCAGTTAGATCTCGAGCATGAAATATGGTAGATGGTTGAGCACAGAGACAGGAGCTCTGCCAGATGTAGCCAACACAGCGGGTAGGGTGTTTGCCTTGCATGTGGCTGACCCAGGTTTGATTCCTCCGTCCCTCTCGGAGAGCCTGGCAAGCTACCGAGAATATCCCGCCCGCACAGCAGAGCTTGGCAAGCTACCCGTGACGTATTCAATATGCCAAACACAGTAACAACAAGTCTCACAATGGAGACATTACTGGGCCCGCTCGAGCAAATCAGTGAACAACGGGAGGACGGTGCTATGTGCTACAATAGAAAGATGGAAGTATGGGTAGTCTGGTTGCACTGTGATTATACGGCAGTGGAGCGATGCTCGTGCAGAGGCAGGCTGTTCTGTCATTATTGGTTCGGCTTCATATTAGCCCCGGATGTGTTTCTGCATGCAAGCCCCGAGAGGGAGAGGGAAAGGGAAGGGGAGGGGAGGGAAGGGGGAGAGGGAGGAAGGGGGGGAGCACATTGTCCAGAGGAGACTGAGCTGCAGCGGCAGCAGCACGGGAGCTTCAGAGCCAGTAGCCCTCCCCCTCCTGTACCATGCAGCATGGGAAAGGCCAGGGTGGTGATTTTAGGGGAAAAGATGCATAAAGTGCCTAGCGGGGTCAAGGCTCAGTGACAGAGCATACATTATGTGTGAGGCCCTGTGTCCGATCCCCAGCACCACAAAGATTAAAAAGCCTCTTACCACAACTTTTTTTGTTTGGCTTTTTGGGTCACACCTGGTGACACACAGGGGTTACTCCTGGCTTTGCACTCAGGAATTACTCCTGGCGGTGCTCAGGGGACCATATGGGATGCTGGGACTCGAACCAGGGTCAGCTGAGTGCAAGGCAAACGCCCTACCTGCTGTGCTATCACTCCAGCTCCACCACAACTTTTAAAGACCAGATGCATTTATATAGTAGTTGCCATTGTGTTAAAGATATGTCTCTTTTTTTTTTGGTTGTTATTAAGAAGAGTATTGTCAACCACAGTGCCTAAAATAAAAATTTCAAGGAGCGATAGCACAGCGGTAGGGCGTTTGCCTTGCACGCAGCCAACATGGCCGACCCGAGTTCGATTCCTCCGCCCCTCTCGGAGAGCCCGGCAAGCTACCGAGAGTATCTCGCCCGCACAGCAGAGCCTGGCAAGCTCCCCGTGACGTATTCGATATGCCAGACACAGTAACAACAAAGTCTCCAATGGAGACGTTACTGGGCCCGCTCGAGAAAGCTTAATTCAAAAAAATTAAAACATTTATCTTTAAAGCACATTTTTTGCTTTAGGTGTTTTAGTTGTTCAAATTTTTCATACAAATCATTTTTATATCGACTTTCAGATAAGACAGCTTCCCTACAGAAATTGCTACAAAATGAGGTAGCACTGCACTGTAGCACCGTCCTCCCATTGTCCATCAATTTGCTCGAGCGGGCACCAGTAACGTCTCCATTGTGAAATTTGTTGTTACTGTTTTTGGTGTATCGAGTGTGCCACGGGGAGCTTGCCAGGCTCTGCCATGTGGGTGGGATACCCTCAGTAGCTTGCTGGGTTCTCCGAGAGGGACAGAGGAATTGAACCCGGGTCAACCACGTGCAAGGCAAACGCCCTACCACTGTGCTATCGCTCCAGCCCAAAATGAGGTAGACATAACGAAATCAAAGACCTCCAAATGTTGCTGAAGTACTGTAAATAATAATGATTTTAATCTTTTAGCTCATGCAGCTCTTGTGTTGTGAACACAGTTTGACTTCATTTGGACTGAGGGTGTTTTCTTTGTGAGAACCATATTTCTTTGTGACAATATATAGCGCTGTCCTCCCATTGTTCATCGATTTGCTCGAGCAGGCCCAGTAACGTCTCCATTGTGAGACTTGCTGTTGCTGTGTTTGGCTTATAGAATACATCACGGGTAACTGCCAGGCTTTGCTGTGTGGGCGAGATACTCTCAGTAGCTTGTCCGGGCTCTCCAAGAGGGGCGAAGGAATCGAACCTGGGTTGGCCGGACTGGCCTTGTGCAAGGCAAATGCCCTACCTGCTGTGCTATGGTTAGGGTGAGAATATATATTTTTATAATATATATTTTAGGGAAATTCAGTTTGGAGCAATAGCATAGTGGTAGGGCATTTGCCTCGCACAAGGCCAGACTGGCTGACCGGGTTCGATTCCTCCACCTCTCTCAGAGAGCCCGGCAAGTTACCAAGAGTATCTCGCCCGCATGGCAAGGCCTGGCAAGCTACCCATGATGTATTCGGTATGCCAAAAACAGTAACAAGTCTCACAATGGAGAAGTTACTGGGCCGGCTTGAGCTAATCGATTAATAACAATGGGAGGACAGTGGTACAGTGCTACAGTTTTTAAAAAATGCCCTAATGCATTGCAACTTCTTAGCTGGCCATTAGAACTTACTGTAACCGAATGAGTACATCCATTTAACTAGGCTTTAGAGGAATTCCTTTACAAACATTCGAAAGAAGAAATATAAGTTATTAGATCAGATTCTGCAGTGGTTCTCCGTTCCTTTTATGCTTTGTCAGCAATGACACAGTGCCTGTAGTAGCTGCTCACGGCGCTGAGAAGCAGGAAGGAAGCAGTGTCCGGGAGGTGGGGGGTCTCCGGGCATGGCTTTGGAATGGTGTCTGTGTTATGTGAGGACCTATCATCGAGTCTGAGAAGTCTTTTCTGTCCTTTAGCCGAAGCAGCCCGAGCTCGTCCGTTCTCACAGAAAGCGCCGTGACTCCAGGAAGACGCTGGCCCAGAAACGGGCGGTAGAGCAGCTGAAGGCGGAAACACCCGAGGCCGTGGAGGGCCGAAAACACGTGGATGTCCAGACAGGTGGGGCTGTGCCCTTGGCACCCGTGTGCTGCTGGTCTGTCCTTCCCAGCGCCTACTCCTCCCCAGCTGCCCCATGGGAGAAGCCGTTTATCAAAGGCGTCACTGTGTTACCGAGCATGCTCAGGAACAGAAGGAGGGTTTGGTTTGCCTTTCTCTTGGCTCTCTTTTCCTAAACCTAACCCTACAAGATGAGATTTTTTTTTTGCCTTTTGGGTCACACCTGGAGATGCACAGGGGTTCCTCCTGGCTCTGCATTCAGGAATTACTCCTGGCGGTGCTCAGGAGACCAGATGGGATACTGGGAATTGAACCCGGGTCTGCCGCGTGCAAGGCAAACGCCCTACCCGCTGTGTTATCACTCCAGCCCAAGATGAGTGTTTTTAAATAAGAATTTTGTGGGCCATGGAGGCAGCTCAGATGACTAGTGCCCAAGCTTGTATACTGGAGGCCCGGTGTCCAGGCCCAGCCTGGCACTGTTCCCTGAGCACTGCCAAGAGTGACCCCTGACCACTACCAGTCATGACCCCAAAATGATGTCAGAAAGAATTTGATGCCCAATTTAATTCCCTTAATCTTGTTTATATATTCTGTTCTCAAATTGGAGTGAACCCACTTTTGCCTGCACAACCCACTGTTGGGTTCAGCAGAAGAGAGCTGTGTAGGGTCATTCAGACCCAGTCGCCCCCTCCCCTGCGGGGCCTCTCTGGCCCTTTCTCCCCTTTGCTCACTCCCTGGGCTACACATCGTCCCTCCCAGCCTGGTCAGGCTTTCCCCACTCGTCAAATGGCTTCATCTATAGAGACCAACCTGGCCTGTAGTGTTTGCTAGAATATTGATGACAATCAGACAATGCCTAGTGTTTTCCTGGACCGTGACACCGCTTGAGGATTCCCTTTTACCTTCTGATGGCAAGTAGATTCCTCAAAGTAATTTCTGGGTGTTAAAGGGCAGGAGGAAGAACACTACCCACTCCTTTTCCCCTTCCTGGAGGCTGTGTCTGCAGTGAGTGTATGTTTGTGTTTAATAATACAGTAATACTGCAAGTTAACTTCTAGCACTGATTCCTGCTAGCTGAGTATTAAACAGTTGAAATAAGAGACACCTGCTGAGTACTTCCCTTAGCTGGGAATCTGCACCAGTTCCTCCCGCTGAATACTTTTAGGTAGGAATATGCACCAGGTCCCCATGCTGAGCACTTCTCTTGGCTTGGAGTCTGTGCCAGGTCTCCCTCAGAGTACTTCCCTTATCTGGGAGTCTGCGCCAGATCTTTACCTATGCATCTCCTTCCCTGTTGTAAATATTCACGATCATGATCATGACCATCCTGTTATTCGTCGATTGCCTCGAGCAGGCCCCAGTAACGTCTCCTTCGTCCTAGCCCTGAGATTTTTTAAAAGGTGCCATATTCAAGGCTCTTTCAGGGTTAGGAAAATGAGACCCATCATTGTCACTGGTATTTGGCATATTGGGTACGCCATGGAGAGTTTGCCAGACTCTGCCGTGTATGCAGGTTACATTCGGTAGCCTGCCAGTTTGTCCAAAGTAGGAATGAGATAATAAGATGTCACAATAAGGTGTCATGCGGCCGCAAATGCGGCCGCCCGCTTCCGGAAGCTGGGTTTTATAGGCTCTAAGTCTTGGCCGTTGATGGGATTACACGGCGCCAGGGGGCCAGTTAGTGGGTGTGACCCCTGCCTACTGGAATTCGGAGGATCTGGATGGAGGATGCTCAGCCCTGATCTGAGCAGGCTTGGAGATCTCAGCCCCGGGATCAGCATGCCTTTGTTCCTCTGCCAGTACCTTCATGCATGTGGAGAGTGGTCTCAGCATGGTAAATATTCTAGTGATGGATAATTATGACCCCTTACAGATAACAAACTAAGGTTCCAATTTCTCTAGGTCCAATGCTCAGCATCTGACTGCGGTTCCCATGATACCACACTGCCCTTGTAAATTATTACTCCGGTGAAATTTGTTTGCTAACATTTATTTAAAATTGTTTTTCCTAAATTTGTTTATACTCGGTAGACTATAAGGAGGATCAAGTAGCAATATGGCATAGTGCATCATTATTTTGAATATCCAGGAGTTTTCAAACATTCCTATGTTTACTATCTTGGGACTCAGCAGGTTATTAACTTTCTACCCCCTGTTATATTTTGTGTCTTATCTTTATGATTTCATCTTTCATTTTCGGATATAAAACTCTGCTTTCTCGAGTCAATAAATGTTCCAAACTATCTGATTCTTTGGTCTTCCAAATTATAAAGTCACTTAATATATGAATTGAACTCCATGTTAGAGCACTCTCATTCTAAGATGTGTGTAACTGATCCAGTTTATTCTATTTTGAAGTAGCTGAAGTTTCACATGCACAGATATACCTGAAATAGACCAAAATTTCAAATTCCATGCATATACTATTCTCATAGAATTATACCTTGAGGAAATTGCTGACCGTATGATAGAAGTTGATATGGAGTGTCAAACAGATGCATTTCTGGACAGACCACCAACACCACTCTTCATCCCAGCCAAAACTGGCAAAGACGTCGCCACCCAGATACTAGAAGGAGAGGTATGGTGCGTTGTTTCAACTTCTCTCTATCTTCTTGAGTGGCGAGTTTAGTTTTAAAAGATTAGTATACCCACTTCACAGAAAGTCTGCCTATTAAATTCCTTCCTGAATTTATAGTTATGTCCTGAACATTGAAGAAATGTTTTTTTTGTTTGTTTGTTCCATTGTTTTTGTTTTTGGGGTCATACACAATGTGTGTGCACACAGTGCTCAAGATTTTCTTGTGACTCTGCACTCAGGAATCACTCCTGGCAGGATCGAGGACCATCTGGGATGTTAGGATCAAACCCCGGTTGGCCATATACATGGCAAACACCCTCCCCACTGTGCTGTCACTTCGGCCCAATGTTTTGTTTTGTTTTTCTAATTAAAAATTTTTGTTTGTTTGCTTTGGGACCACACCCAGCAATATTCAGGAGTTACTCCTGGCTCTGCACTCAGGAATTACTCCTGGCGGGCTCGTATGGGATGTCATACGGGATATCACGGATTGAACCTGGGTCAGCTGTGTACAAGGCAAGCGCCTTCCCCATTGTACTATTTCCCTCACTCACCGCCAAATGTTTTTAAAATACCATGTTCTGGTTTTTCTTGGCTGATAAGAAATGAAAATCATTAAAAATATCCTTAGATGTTTAAGTTTGATTTTGTGTGTTTGCATACTTGCTTTCATATGTGATTATAAGCCATTTTTGTGCCAAATAAGGAAAATGTCACATAAACAATTTTGCTTTAAAGTTTTTTTATTGTAAAGGTATCCATTTGGGGGGGAGGAAATAACCTTCAAATCATGCATTTTCAGCCCAGTGTGGAAAGAATTAGGCTCACATGTGAAATTGAACACGCCAGTGTTTATGGACATGATTTAATTGGGGTGTAAGGCTCCAGGGAGCTAGAAGCATGGGGGTAAGTGGAGGTGAAGTTCGTCTCTGCCTGTGGACTCCAGAAATGAATGCTCTGAATGCCAGAAAAAAATCGCCAAAAAAATGTTATTTTTATTCCTTGTTCTTCCATCTGTATCAATAAACAAATCCAGTAAAGGTCAAGCAACAGAGGTAGAGAGGATGAGAGATAAGGAAGGCCATGTCCTGGTGTTCCAGAAGTTGGTCTGCAAATTACTGAGTGTGAACACTCATTTTAACGTCTATTTGACTCTCTTTATAGCGTCGACCCGGTTTTTATCCAGACAGACGAGGTACCTGTCTGCAGCGGGTCAGTCAAGGCCCCCTGCAGGAGACCCGCGGTTAGAAAGGCCCCGTTAGCGCCTCTGGGTACCGGCCCGCGGCGCCTGGCACCGCATTGACGGTTCCGGTTTGCTTTGGTGGCTCTTGCAGCTCTTCGACTTTGACATTGAGGTCCGGCCCATGTTGGAGGTGCTGGTGGGCAAGACCATCGAGCAGGCGCTGCTGGAAGTGATGGAGGAGGAGGAGCTGGCGGCGCTGCAGGCCAGCCAGTCGGCCTTCCGGGAGATGCGCAACGTCGAGCTGGCCGAGGTGCAGCGGCTGGAGGAGCAGGAGCGGCGGCACCGCGAGGAGAAGGTACCGGCCCCGCCCCCCAGGACAAGGCCCTGGGAAGGGTCCAGCGCCCTGTGCCCCTGCACCCAGTTCCACAGGGCGGGCGGGCGCGGGTCCACCGGTGCCAGGGGCCAGAGAGCCGATCTGTACAAACAGGTCCCAGAAGCCCCCAGCGTAGAATTTCCTGGGCCAAAAATGCAGTTTTCTTTTCTTTAAAAGCATTTTTATTTTATCGACTCACCAGGAGATAGCCCCATTACAACACCGTTCCTGGCTGGTTTTCAGTCACAGTGTTCCAAACACCCACCAGTGTAACTTCCCAGCACCAGGGTCCCTAGTTTCCTTTTCCCCCTGCAAACCCTTGGCCGCCCCAGCCTGCTGGGATGCAGGCACCTTCTTCTCTCTCTCGCTCTCATTTTAGGCATTATGGTTTGCAATACAGATGCGGAAAGGGTATCACTATCCCTCTTTACTTGCTTTCAACACTCCTTGTCCAGAGTGATCATTTCCAAGTACTATTGTCATAATGGACCCTCCTCTTGTCTTAACCCCCCTCCACCCCGCCACACGCCCTGGTGCTGATTTCCAGCCATCCGCCAGTCCTCCTGGCCCGCTTTCCCTGGCCTTGGATATTAGGATATAATTTTTATTATATCTCCCACTAACAAATGCAGCTGAAAATGCCGTTTGCAACTTCACCTTTCACAATTGTCTCCAAGTAGAGCTTCCAGAAGGTTCTAGATGAAATTCTTTGCATGCACCCTGGCCTTACTGATGGAGCCTTAAATACATTGACTCGCTGCAAGTCATTGGCAGGAAGGCAAAAGGAACAAGTGGGTTAGGTTGGCAGTAGAAGCCCAGTCTGCCCGAACTCTGGCTCTGAGCAGAACCAGATCCTTGGTCCGCTCTACCCTCAAGGACACACCAGAACCACTCACTAGTGTTTCATAGAATAATTCCTAGAATTAGACTCTACACCCCCCTCTTTTGTTTTCTTTTGGTTTGGGGGCCACCCCTGGCAGTGCCCAGGCTTACCCCTGGCTCAGTGCCCAGGAATCACTCTTTAACAAAACAAAACTCTACATCTTAATGCAAAGAAAATGTATTGCCGAAATAAAGACTAACCATCATCCGAGCCTCCAACAAGTCCTATTCCTTTTGCCACAAACCATTAATTTGTTAAAAAATAAAAATACTAACAGTACTCTCAGAGAGGCATGATAGAAAGATTTTGCTTGAGATTGGACCCGTAATTTACTTGAAAATGGACCCAGAGGCCATGTTCACTTGAAGTGCCATCTCTTTCCTGAGTGCAGTAGCTGCCGGCTGTTGAAATTCAGGCTCCTGATGAGCCTTAAGTGGAAAGAGAGAGAGTTGCAGGCCCCGGGCAGAGCGGGGGCAGCGTTAGCCCTGGCAAACCCTGACCCACCCGCCCCCCTCAGGAGCGCCGCAAGCAGCAGCAGTGGCAGATCGTCAGCAAGCAGAACGAGACCTCGCAGAAGATCGCGGCCCGGGCCTTCACCCAGCGCTACCTGGCCGACCTGCTGCCCTCCGTCTTCGACAGCCTGCGGGAAGCCGGCTACTTCTATGACCCCGTGGAGAGAGGTCGGGCTCCCAGGGGGGCTGCCCCATTCCAATATGCTTCCTCTTCGTGGTGCAGGTTGATCTCAGTTCCAGTTTAATTTTGGGGGGGGGGAGGGGGAGCAGAATGTTGTTTTTTTTACATACTTTGTGATCTCTCTCTCTCTCTCTCTCTCTCTCTCTCTCTCTCTCTCTCTCTCTCTCTCTCTCTCTCTCATTAAATCACTGTGAGATAGGAAGCTTTCATGATTGGGTTTCAGTCATACATTGTCCCAACACCCTTTCCTCCACCAGTGTATATTTCCCATCACCAAAATACCCCATATCCCTCTTGCCATGCCCCCCACCAACAGCCTGCCTCTCTGACAGGCACTTTTCTCTTTGTCTGTCTGTCTGTCTTTCTCGCTGTCTCCGTCTCTGTGTCCCTGTGTCTGTCTCTGTCTCTGTCTCTCTGTCGGTCTCTCTCTCTCTCCCTCCTTCCCTCTCTCTCCCCGCTCCCCCCCACCTCTTAGGCATTATGGTTTGCAATACAGATACTGAGAGGCCATCATGTTTGGTCGTGTGCCCACTTTCAGCACACATCTCCCATCCAGAGCAATCCCTTACAACCATCATTGTCATAATGGTCCCTTCTCTCTCCCAGTTTAATTTTGAACTGGACTCTGGTGCACACATTTGGGGGAAAAAAAACTGGCTGAGAGCCTTTCAACTTCCTCTGAGGGAAATACGGATTGATTAGGCCCTAAAGCGCCTCAGAATGTGAGACCGTGTGTGCAAGAATGAGCGCGAAAGGGGTGTGTCTTACCTTTCCAAGGATGACTCCCCTGTGGGCAGCTGTAGGGAACTTTGATTCTTTCCCTCACATCTACAGCTTCCAGGCAAGGGATATTTAGCCCAAGGGTTGTAGGTAAAGTGAAATAAGAAAAAGGAAATTCAGCCCCTGCCTTTCAGGTACCCAGACCTTCCCTCCCAAGAGACCCCCAGAACTAGCTCCCTGGGAAACACTGGCTTTACCCCGAAGCCTTTCCGTTTCACAGGGCTTCCAGTATTGGGGTGAATGTCAGGGATGTTTGTTTCACTGACCACATCTCCGGTCCAGCCCAGCTCATGGCCAGGTCACTAGCACTTTCGTCTCCATTTATACTGGACTTCACAGTTGATTTGTCATCGTGGCGGGTGTGACACCGTTTGTTCTTCCCCAGGACCCCATGAGTGAGGTAGATACTGCAGAAGGATTCCCACTTTCAGAGGCAGAAGGGAGCGGGGAAGCGCAGCGCCTCCTGCCAGCCGGCCCAGGAGCCTGACCCCAGCTGGCGTCCCTAACCCACTGCCTGTCCCCCCAGGAGCCTGACCCCCGCTGGCGTCCCTAACCCACTGCCTGTCCCCCCAGGAGCCTGACCCCAGCTGGCATCCCTAACCCACTGCCTGTCCCCCCAGGAGCCTGACCCCAGCTGGCGTCCCTAACCCACTGCCTGTCTCCCCAGGAGCCTGACCCCAGCTGGCGTCCCTAACCCACTGCCTGCCCTCCTGGGCTCCCACAGGCTCCTGTCACACAGGCCAGCACCCCTTGCCTCTAGTGAACTGCTGGAAAAGTCCATTACAGATACTTAGAAATTTGCCGATTGGATTCTCACCTCAGATTAAAGTTAGAGAAGTGAATATCATAGTCTATAATAATCCATCATCATCCCTCTGAAATTTTGCACTTAGAAGCCTGCCCCCCAAAGCTATCCTGAATCATTAAAATATGAATTGTAATGGACCTCCACTACAACCTACCGGGTAGATGCTGAACTGCCAGTCTCTGTCCAGGTCAGCTTTGGCTCACGCCAGCCCCTGGGGTCTGCCCAAACAGCATCGCTGAGTCCTAGGCTCCCTGGCGTCAGACTGGGGTCCTGCTCCCTGACACTGATCCTTCCCACTCCCGGCTCCTCCATCACGATTCGTCTCCAGCTGCAGCTGTGAAGTTACTTCTGTGGGTCTTGACTCAAGAGGAGGTCACGCGGCTTTGGAAGTACCGTCTCCAAAGCTGCGGTGTGAAGGGGCCTGCCATGTAGGGAGCTGTCACATTTTGTGGTGCGAAGGCCATGCTGATGGACATATTCACAGTGGGGAAGAAGGACTCCACAAAACCTTCTTAACGAGGTTCACTGCCTTCTAGATATCGAGCTGGGCTTCTTCCCATGGCTAATGCATGAAGTCGACAAAGCCATGGAGCACCAACTAGTGGGAAGAACAGTGGTGGACAGTAAGTTTTTCATTTCATCCAAAACTTATCGCTGGGAAGCAGGGAGGTGGCAGGCAGAGCTAGAGTACAGCCGGTATGGCGTTTGCCTTACACACAGCCGACCCAGGCCCGATCCCTGGCATCCCATCTGGTCCCCAAGCACTGCCAAGAGTAATTCCTGAGTGCAGAGCCAGGAGTAACTCCTGAGCACTGGCAGGTGTGGCCCAAAAAGGAAATTTTAAAAAAACTCATAGCTGGGAAGGGGAGAGATATCAGGGGAAGTTAGAGCACAGTGGGTAGGGTACTTGCCCAGCTCCTGGCTGACCCAGGCTCAACCCCCAGAACCCCACATGGCCCCGAGACAGCCAGGAGTGGGCCCTGAGTGCAGAGAGCCAGGAGTAAGTCTTAGCATCACCAGCTGTGTCAAAAATAATAAGAATCATCGCTGGGATTTTTCAGTCACTGTCACTGTACTCCCGTTGTTCGTCAATGTGCTCCAGCGGGCCCAGTAACATTGTGAGACTTGTTACTGTTTTTGACATATCAAATACGCCACGGGGAGCTTGCCAGGCTTTGCCGTGGGGGCAAGATCCTCTCGGTAGCTTGCCGGGCTCTCCGAGAGGGGCAGAGGAATTGAAGGTGGAGGAGGGATCTTTCAGAAGAAAGAATAAATAGCAGAAAGTTGCTTGTCTTTTTAGCTTGTTTTTCAGTTTTAGTTTTCAGGTTTTCGGCGTGTCTCGTGTATAACGAGACGTAGCGTTACCCTCCATGCTGTTTCTGCTCTTCTCCAGTTTGGTCATCACAGACCAAGCTGAGCCCGACCTTCTGGCATTGATCTGTAAATGACGCTCTCTGCAAGGGGGGTGGGGGGGATCTGACGCTCGCTCACAGTCAGTGCACCCAGGGACCCTGAAGCTCAGCGCTGCCTTTCTGTCAGAAGAGGGGACTCGGGCGGTCCGGGTTCTCGGGGAGGGCCGCCGGGGCACTCACAGTGGCCTCCGTGCCTGTCCTCCGCAGTGCTGATCCGCGAGGTGGTGGAGAGGAGGCTGACGGCGTTCGAGTGGAAGGAGGGCAGGTTCCCGTACACAACGATGGACACGCAGGTCAGCTGGCCCGAAGCCGTGAATGACATCCAGATGCCCTTCCCTGCCCCAGAGCAGGCAGGGGTGTCGCTGCAGCCCCCCTACCTGGGCACAGACCCCTCGCAGACAAACATTTATCAGGGGAATTATTGGGGCCCAGCACCCCAGGACATGAACTTCATGGATGAAACCTGGCAGGACCCGGAGAAGAGGGGAAGTTTCTAGGGACGCCGGAGGGGAGGGATTGGCCGCCCACGGCCCAGCAGGGAATCGTGGAAATTATGTCATCTCTAGTCGCAGAACTTGTTGTCTTGTGAGCTCTGCAGATCAGATCTGTTGAAATAATAAAACTACTTTCAAGAAATACAAGGCCTTTGTGTCGTGGTTGGCTCTGCCCGTGGTGCAGGTGGCAGGCCACCTCTGCCCACATCCCGAGCCCCGAGCCCTGCTTGCAGCCTGGCCAGCTCTTGTGTGCGTGTGTGTTTGGGGCTCTACCAGGCGTGGCCGTGGTGTGGATATCGTAGTGAGTGTGGCATTTGGGGCCAGACACCAGGGCTTTCTCTGGGCCTTTTCCTGCAACAGAATCCCTCAGTGGTAATGGGAAGGACCCTCCAAGCCCGAGGCCCTGAGCTGGAAGCCAGAGGAGTTGCGGGCACTGTTGGTGTAAGCGTGAATAGGGTGTCTCCCTGCACCCCCAATATTCAAGGCAGGCTCAGGGCATTGGAGGACTCATGGCTGACATTGGTCTTCTTGGTCATGCCCACCAGGCCTGTCCTAGGCACTGACACCTCGAGGATACCTTGTTGACCCTTTCCAGATGTTACAGAAGCAGATGTGATTGGAGACTTAGGAGGACAGGTGTACAAACACAAACGTGTTGTCTACTATGAGTTCAAAATGTGGGTGCACAACGCGTGCATTCAGTGGCCGAGAACCGTCTCCCCAGACTCCCCCAGAAGAGGTCCCCCAGGGGACCATGGAGGGATGGTCAAAATGGCCCGTTTAATGCAGAGCTGCTAGCACACTTACAGCACATCTGAAGGAGCTTGAGATATAAGACTGCAAGTAGATGTTATTGATTATTTACAGAGGTAAAAAAGCATCTCGGCAGGAGCTATTCTCACGTAGGAAGCTCTGTCTCCCAGGGACATCTATACTGCTTTTCTCACTCCCTTTAGTTGTACATATTAAACAATTATGTTTACTTCTCATTAATACTTGCTGTTATTTGGATAAACACAGTAAGAGATATAGATTCCAAAACTTAGTTCTCTGGGCTCTGAGGCAAGGCTGCTCTACTTCTACCGTAAATCCCAGACTAGCTCCTCAGGCTGGTTCTGCTTGTCCTTCCCCAGGGTGGTCCTGTCTCTTAAGTCATAACGGCTTGCATCAAGACCATGCTTTCATACTTTCTTCTAGACTGTCCCATTTTGATGCCGGGGTAGCTTTGCCAGGTCCATCGCAGTCCCATGGCCAGACCTCCCTTTGTGGGATGTGAGGGTTAGGCACTATCGCAACCAGTAATTACCCGAGTCAAGTAATTATGATGGATGCCCAGGAGTAGAAATATTTCAGAGTCAATCACTGTCCAGATATTAGCAGCATAGCACGAATGGTCTTTCTGCATTTAAGCAAAGAACATTGCTCTACAGTAAAATATGAAAAGGCTATATGGGAAATTAAAAGCAAGTGATTCACTTCAAATACAAAGTGCAGAGTCACTAGAAGTTTTGGCTTATAAATAATCAAGACTGACTTCGGAAATGCAGCGCACATGGGGGAGGTAAAGCACAAAGGGAAGGTTAAAGATAAACTCGGGGCATTAGGGGTGCTCACAAGAGCACTGCAAATTTCTCTGGCGGGAGTGGGGAGGGGAGAAATGGCGATTCACTGATGAAACCTAAAACACTTAGAGTTACTATCCAACTTGTTTGCATTTTTTCAAGTAACAGTTTATCTAAGCCTTCAACACTGTAGGGTCTCTCCTTTGAGAGGCCAGAGGCTGGCACATACGTGCATGGGCTTTTTTTGGGCTCTGGCTTTGTTTTTGAACCATGAATGTGCGTTCACATGCATTTGTTTGGAGACACTTGGGACTTTTGAAAAACCCAGATCTTTTGGGGCTGGAGCAATAGCTCAGCCGGTAGGGTGCTTGCCTTGCACGCGGCCGACCCGGGTTCGATTCCCAGCGTCCCATGTGGTCCCCCAAGCACCGCCAGGAGTGATTCCTGAGTGCAAAGCCAGGAGGAACCCCTGAGCAGCGCCGGGTGTGACCCAAAAAGCAAAAAAAAAAAAAAGACAAACCCCAGATCTTTTGTTGATTGATTGACTTTTGTAGGGATGGGGCCTGGGGGGCCTGGGGTTGGGGAATACCCAGAAGTGCTCAGGGCTATGCCCAGCTCTGGGCTCAGGGATCATTCCTAGCATATGCAGTGCAGGTGACTGAACCTGGTTGAGCTGCATGCAAAGCAAATTCTTCAACTGCTCTTCTTGTTTGCTTGCTTGCTTGTTTAGGGGCCACCCCAGCAATGCTCAGGAATTACTGCTGGCTCTGTGGTCAGGAATTACTCCTGGCAGTGCTCAGGAGACTATTTGGATGCTAGGGATTGGCTGTGTGCAAAGCGAGTGCCTTATCCACTGTGCTAGCTCTCCGGAACCCCCTCTGGTCTCTGTGAAGCCATATTTCAAAATGTGTTTTTGTCATTTAGGTAACAAGGTTACGATGGTGTTAATGTGGTTTCTGTGTAAATGTTTCTCTTCTGGTATTTCTGCATGCCTGGGCGGTAGATTGGAAGTGACTCCCCCTTCTTCCCCGCCCCTCTCTCTATCCCTGAATCATCATTTTATTGATTTTAAGATCCCTACAATTTTTTTAGTTTATTTTATTATTTTTTAAATTGAATCACTCTGAGATACACAGTTACAAAGTTGTTCATGATTGGGTTTTTCAATGACCCAATGTTCCAACACCCATCCTGTCATCAGTCTACATTTCCCACCACTGATGTCCCCAGTTTCCTTCCTCCCCTGTCCCAGCCTCTGTACTAGACCTCTGTCTGTCTGTCTGTCTGTCTGTCTGTCTCTCTCTCCCACTCCCCGCTCTATCTCTCCTCCTTTACCTCTTCATTTAAGCTGATCCCAAAGTACTTGATTTTCTGAGGCACAATTGTGGAATTTTTAAATATATTTTTGGCATTTGCCTTGCACGCAGCCAACATGGCCGACCCGAGTTCAATTCCTCCGCCCCTCCCGGAGAGCCCGGCAAGCTACCGAGAGTATTCGATATGCCAAACACAGTAACAACAAAATCTCCAATGGAGACGTTACTGGGCCCGCTCGAGCAAATCGATGAACAACGGGAGGCCTTTACTTTACTTACTTACTTACTATTTTTCTTCTTTCATTATTTGTACATAGGAATGCCATGGTCTTTTCTGTATTAATTTTGTATACTGCCACTTTACTATACAAATCTATTGTTTCTAGGAGCTTTTTATAGAGTCTTTAGGATTTTCTAAATAGATTATCATGTCATCCACAAATAGTTGAAAGCTTGACTTCGTCCTTTCCGATCTGGATACCCTTGGTATCTTTTTCTTGCCTAACTGCTATGGCAAGTACGTCTGGTCTATATTGAATAGAAGTGATGAGAGCAGGCAAACTTGGCTTGTGCCTGATCTTAGAGGGAAGATCTTAATTTTTCCCCATTGAGTATGTTTGCTTTGGCCTTAGGTAAATGGCTTTGACTATATTGAGAAAAATTCCTTCAATTTCCATTTTGTTGAAATTTTTACCATGAATGGACACTGGGTCTTGTAAAATACTTTCTCTGCATCTATTGATATGATCATATGGTTTTTCTCTTTTTGTTATTAATATGGTGTATTGTGTTTATTGTCATGATGTATTATGTTGATTTATTTGCGTATGTTAATACGTCCTTGCATCCCCAAGATGAATCCTACTTGGCCATGGTGTATGATCTTTTTGATGAATTGTTCAATCCTATTTGCTAGCATTTTGCTGTGTTATTGTTTTGTTGCTAGTATTCATCTGTGTTCATCAAGGATGCCATTGGCCTATAATTCTTTTGGTGGTGTCTCTGTCTATTTTCAGTATCAGGGTGATGTTTGCTCCATAAAAACTGAGAGTGCTTCTGTTTCTTCAATTTTTGGAAGATCCTGTAAGGGATTGGCAGTAAGTCCTCTTAAAGGTTTGAAAGAATTCACTAGTGAATCCATCTAGGCCTTGACTTTTTGTTTGGGGGAGAGTTTTGATTGCCATTTCAATTTCCCCAATAGTGATAGGTCTGTTCTGTATTCCAAACCATCCTTTCTCAGTCTTGGGAGGTTATAGGAACAGAGGAATTTATCCATTCCAGATTAACTTATTTCTTGGCATAACCATTCTCAAAGAAACATCTGGTGATCCTTTGAGTTCCTGTGCTGTCTTTTATGATCTCCCCTCTTTTATTTTTGATCCAATTTTTAGGGTTCTCTCTATCACTGTTTCTATCTCTTCCTTGTTTATTTTTTTTCCCAAAGAACCAGCTCTTGGTTTCATTGATCTTCTGAATTGTGTTTTTAAGATTCCACTTCATTAATTTCTGCAGTATATTTTATTATTTCCTTCCTCCTGCCTGCTTTGGGCTCATTTTGTTGGTCATTTTCCAGTTTCTTAAGTTGTGCGGTCAAGTTATTTATGTGGGTTCTTTCTTCCTTCCTGATGAATGCTTGCATAGCAATGAACTTTTATCACCGCTTTTGCTGCGTCCCACAAGTTCTGAGGTAATGTCCTCGTTCTCATTTCTTTCCATGGTTTTTTCAATTTTTTTCTTGACTTCCTCTCTGACCCACTGGTTTCTCAATAATGAGCTGTTAACTGCCCAGGTGTTTCATTTGTTTCTCCATTTCTGTTTGTGATTAACTTCTGCTTTCAGTGCATCATGATCTGAGAAGATAGTTGATGTGATTTCATTTCTTTGCTCTTGACTTTGTGGAGCCATTCTTTCTCCCATCATGTTTCCTGTCTTGGAGGTTGACCCATGAGCATAGGAGGAAGATGTGTATTAGGTTTTCTGACAATGACAAAGATCTATGAATATCTATGAAACCCCTGTCTTCCGTTTCTTCCTTTGAAACAAGCATTTCCTTACTGAGCTTTAGTCTAGTGGATTTATGGAGGGGACAGAAGTGTTGAAGTCTCCATCTGCTGTTGTGTTGCTA